CCCAAAAATGCTTTCCCTCTTGAGATTTTTGGGAATTTCTATACTTTTGATTAACCCTGTATAAAGAGCGTCTTAGAGCACCTATACTAGAGATTTTTTTATGTCATTTGAGCATCCTTTAATATAGCACCCCAAGGTTTTTTAAATTTATACGTAGATTATGATATTTGAAATTTTACTATAAAATGGCTGTGAAAAGATTATACATAGTAACTTTTTCTCATTGTCAGTGTTACCACAGACAAAATAGCTATCGCCACAGACCGCTACTGGAATAGGCCAGCAGTTTTAAATTACCGAATTGTCCATAGAGTACACCACCAGCAGAATTTTAGGAAGAATCAAATGCAGCGGCCCGAATTGCTACGCGTATCCTAGCAACATATAAACAAGGCTTTGGTAATGTTGCCAGGCGTACTTACGGATTTCTTTTGTACACTTTTTTATCAATCTGTTTTTTGCGTTACTGTTAAAATGTTTTTAAAGAATCAACGAATATCTATGTAGGTTCATATAATATTCTGCAGCGGTGTTACAATTAAGTTATTTAATCATAATTTTGTTAATTAGCTACCTACTATTTTCATTTTTTGGTATTGAAATACTGCAGAAAATATATTTCCAAATAAACAAAATTCGTAATAATATTTTAAACAGCTTGTAATATAATTTTTTTAATATTTGATGATGACGATAAATTTATTTAATATACAAGGTGGGTTATTAGTACGTCGCGGAATGTAGGTACAGGTTTTTTTTTTTATTTTGACATCCACTTATAGGTTTAATAATTAAAGATAGAAAGAAACTTTAAATACAAATGTACGACTTTTCCTTTATTTCATTTGACATCAAAATTTACTGGCATAAAATATATATGTTTAAAATAAAAAAAATCATTAAAAAAAATTAAAATTCATCCTTATGAAAATAACAAACAACGCTTTTTATAACTAACCTTTACAACAACATAAGGAGAATAACTAAAAACGAAATAACATTAATATACCTACAATTTTTACAAATCAACATGCAAGTGATTGTGATGATACAGTTGAAAATATGTTTCAATTTACTATTAATTGCTTCAAAAACAAATTCAAAATTATCAAGCATTTCGTCCTGTATTTTTTTTCAATACTTGCAAATTTTCAGGTAAAAAAAATATGTCTAAAGGACTGACAATGAGATCGGGGCTGTTTTCTGGCCACCTAAGGTTTCTAATAATATTTTTTAGTGTTCGTTGACGGGATTCTTCCTCCAAAATAAATTTGCCAATATTCCTGAAGAACTTTTGCACATTATTGTTATTTGAATAATACAGTTAATTATGTTTTATTTTTCGTCATCAGAATAACCCATTGTAATTTTTTTAATTTTTTAAATTAAAATGGGTTATTCTAATAATGATAAATCCCATGTATTTTTAAAAGAAGGTTCGTTTCTGTCGTTTTTGTCTGATTGTGTGCGAGAGAGATAGAGTTATAGTGTGCGATAGAGATAATGTGTCTGTCCTCATAGAGGGCTTCTATTTCTCTCTCTCTGCTGTCTTCAGGAGACTTTGGGGGTTCCCCTGCAATTTCAGGACACCTAGGGAGGGAGCGTGGAGTAGAGCACGTGGCCTTTTTAGCCTTCGTTATCGATGTCACACAGTATGAGAAAAAAAAAAAAAAACGGTTTTGCTTGTAACTCGGAAATGCCTGGAAATATAAACAAATTTCCCCTTGGTTCTGAGTAGATCTCTCGATGGGTGACGCAAAGCGGGGTGTCACCATATATGAAAGAAAAAAAAAACAGTATTTGCTTGGACTCTAAGTATCAAAAAATCTTCCATGGTTTTGATTGGTGATCGAGAGAAAAACATCAAAACTCGCATGTCAAAAAATAAAAATCGAGACCAACGGTATGTGACATCATAGGATAAAAAAGTGTTTATAACTCGGAAACGGTGCGTTGAATCGAAACAATAATGAAAAAATCTCCTCACACCCGTGGTTCTGATTGTCCTTTCTGCGTTGAATGGAAAAGGTCCGAAGTCCGTATGTGGAAAACAAATTTCGGAAAGAAGAGGTGTGTGAGGTGATACAGTAAAAAAGGTCTTATAATTCGGAAACGGTGCGCTGAATCGAAAAAATAATTAAAAAAATCTCCCCACTCCTCTGGTTCTGATTGTCCGCTATGCGTTGAATGCAAACGTCAATATGTCGAAAAACAAAAAAGTTAGTTAAAAATTGCAACAGCAGTAGCGAACGCATTATCTTATCTCTGTATTGATTGATTATTTGTTGTTTTTATTTTAAATAAATTTCGTATTCAACTACTCCTTGAGGTTCCAGCAATTTTACATTGTGCTAATTTTTTTGAACACCTTGTGTCACAAATATGAGCACTACCAATGACATCCATGATAAAATAATAATTATTATTTTACCTATCTAAAAAAATCAACAATAAGAGAGCAGTACCCATCTAAGGATACACAACCTGTATAATGCAAATTTTTTTTAAAAAAGGTGTTAATATCGTACCATATTGGAAGTCGACGCACAAATCTAAAAACATTAATTTCAAGTTTTTGAATTTTCCCATTCCAAGGTGATATAAAATAATTAATTATTTAGGTAAATTCCTAGTTTTAATTCTAACGATTTATTCTATTTAGCATTTAAAGCAAATGTGATTTCCAAACAGAAGATAAGTCCCATATCTTTTTAATTACATAATTGAAAGCATTAAATTTATTTAGCAGTGATTATTTGGCAACAAAGCCACCGCTGGAACTGCCGCCTACTACCAAGTAGAGGAGTTACCACGCTAAATTTTATAGCTGGAAGCCGGCTAAGGAGACCCTGCATTCATTTCGGGTTGCCAATTTCCAGCATTTAAGTAGCAGTCTGTGGCGATAAGCTATATTGTCTGTGGTGCTTCATTACCATTTTCAAGTTCTTGCAAAGTATTCCCTTATGGTATACGTAAATTTTAGCAGTTTTAATTTTTTTAGGGGGTCCCCCAGAAAATCAAAAATTCCTGCACAAATGATTTTTTTTTTTGGACTTGTCATAATTACATTCCATGAAAATTGTATTTCCAAAAAAAAAAAACACTACTTTTTTTTGTGATATAAATATATATAAATAGATTTATTTAAATTTTTATAAGTAATAACTCAAAAAATGACTTGTTTTTCAAATAATCTTTTTTGTTGAAAATACTAACCGAATTTAAATGTGTTTATACAATATTCAAAACTTCTAATGTTATTGAAATTCTAAGGTTTTTCCCCACAGGTTTATTTTAACTATATATTATATATACTTGTATTTATAGTAAGTAACTGAGATGTTCGTGTTTCTAATAATATTTTTCTCAGAATTAGTAATCGAAATTAAATACACTTATCTAATTATAAATATTTAGGTGTAGGTACATATTCTGCAGGGTTTTTAACTGTAGCAAATTTTTGTCCATAATTTGTTGTCATTACCCCAACTCTCATCAATCTACGTCAAACATCTTAAGAGATGTTTAAATAAACGTGATATTTTTTTTAATTTCCGGAACTTTTTTGTTATTTGGAACGTAGAATCCACCGTTAAAGATTGGCATTAACATCTTGTATAATGTTTTTTTGTACTATTTCCATAATGACTACTTATTTCGAGTAACACAAAATTTGTATACAGATCTTATTAGGCATCGTTTATAAATATTATTATAGTCTTCGGTAAAAGCTGTTTTACATTGACAATTTATTGATCAATTAATTGATGAAGTCGCTTCATCAAGAAATTGGACAAGTGTAATGCACCAAATCAGCTGTCAAATAACTTCATCGATTTATTCATCAAGTTCTTGACGAATTAAAGCATGTTCTAATTTTCGTCAATTTCTTCGTGAAGTGTGTAATATGTGTCAGAACGGTACCGCTGTTGTATCACTACAATTATGTGTGGAAAGGTGACATTTTTGAAATGTATTTGTTTCTTTGATTCATTGGTAGAACTGATTCATACGTAAAAAAACTTGAAAAAAAGTCTGGTGCAGTGTAAAACCACACTGTTTACCAATAAATTCGTGAATTAATTGATGAAGAACTTCGTCAATTTATTGATGAATAAATTGTCAATGTAAAACAGCTATAATAAATTGTATAATATTGCTGGACATTACCAATTACGTTTATTGGTAAAATTTGTCTTTTAGTTTTTTAAATCAGGTATAGAAGGTGCTTTTCAGATTCTAGATTTCCGTAATTCGTATCGATTTCAAGATTCTTGAATTTTCGTTTATGGATTTAAGATAATGCGCGATTTAAGCAATGAAGCAAATCGTTTGCAGTAACAGAATTGTATTAAAAAATATGTTTTTTTTGTTTTACAAAAGAATTAGGTGTTTAGTAATATTATGAGATTTACGACAAGATTATGGTCTGGAAGTTTCAGAGATTTTTTTTAAACTAAATGACTTCTTAGATTCTTAACGAAGTTTAGAGACGGAAAAGTTTTGTAAGACATCCTCTAATTTTCTTCATGAGTTTCTTCTATTTGACTTACAAGTTTCTTTATTTTTACATCTTGTATGAGCAAAAAATGAAATTAGACAAATTTGGAAATAGAAATAGACGATTAAATAATTGTAATAATACGTTTAAAAAAAACAGAACAAGTCAAAATATAGGATCTTAATATCGTTATTCAATTGGATAATTGACTTTGTCTCCTCACAAGTTATAAGAAACGACTCAAATTTGAACCATTTCAAACAGGTTAAAGTTAAACGAACAAAATGTATCAATTATTCCACGACTATCAAATGACCGATGTTACAGTGAAACACAATCACTTAAGACGTTTTGTGTAGCTCCGTCCAAGTGAGTGATTTATGCGGCTAATCTTATCGCCTCGCAGATAAACTACGTGCAGCTTAGAGCACTGTAAGCGTTCAAAACTACAAACGCTTCGATACCCTTATCATTCTGCTTCCTTAGATAGAGCCCTTACCTTGCCACAATGTGTACATTTGCCCTTTTCAGAACGCCGATGGACCCAGTGATGCTGGATGGATGTCTGTTCTCGGTACTGTCTGACTCCCACGTCCCTGAATGTAGGTTTGCATGTAAATTTTACCCTGTCTACGAGAATATTGATACAGTTCTGATGGGCCACCACGTTGCAGGACGAACATTTCATCCGCGACCCATGTTTCTGCAACAAAAAAATTCGATTACTATATGCTATTAACTATTATGAAGGGAATAAGTCTTTTTTGAACCCTAATATACGACACCAACTGTCAGTAATATACAGACTATAACAATTTACCGTGGCAGGGGCGTGCCTTGAAATTTTCCATCAATGTTGTTCTACTTCGGGTGTTGAATGCGGTTAATTCCAAGAAAATGACGCAGGGGTCTTCTTGGAATTCTGTCTCAACACATATCGTACGGACTGTAGATATAATATTAATGTTGTTTCATGCTCTTGAATTAGAAATTAAAACTCGCATGAAACATTCTAATAATCCGACATTTTCATGTAATAGTAATGACACATTCTATAATTTTCGGGGCGCAGATTTTCCTTTACTTTATGAAAATCTGAATAACATCGATTGGTCGCCTCTTACAGATTATTCAAAAATCGATGATGCATGTAAATTTATGTATGATCGTATACATGTTGTGATGGATGTTTGTGTTCCAAAACTAAACTCCGTAATAGCAAGTATCCTAAGTGGTATACTCGATCCATTATTAAAGATATAAAAAAGAAATCCAGGTTATTGCGTCAATTTAAACTATCGGGTGATATTAGATTTCATAATGATTTTAGAGACCTTAGATACAAAATAAAGAGAGACGTTGGTAGGTCATATAGGGAATACTTAAACACAATTGAAGATAATATTAAAAATTACCCTAATAAATTTTGGGCATATATATATCCAGTAAAAGGAATGACTCTAGCACATCCAGTGAGATGAGTTATAACAATCAGACATTAACTGACGGCCAAATGATAGTGAATGCTTATGCGCCGTATTTTCAATCTTCCTATGTAATGTCTCAAACTCACAATATACAAGTTAATGTGCCTAACATTAAGTCGAACAACATGCTTATCATGGAAAGCAATACAGAGGATGATGTCAAACGAGGTTTGCGCAAACTGAAGCCAAAAATGTCCATGGGACCGGATGAAATCCCTGCGTTTGTGGTAAAGGACTGTGGTAGCACCTTTATTCGTCCTCTCACTATCATAATCAATTTAATATTGAAATCCAGGAAGTTTCCTAATATATGGAAAGTCTCACGTTTATGCCCTATTTTTAAGAATAGTGATAGGAGTGATATAACTAATTATCGACCCATTGCGCTAATCTGTGGTTTCTGTAAAGTCTTTGAGAATATCTTGTATCAGTATGTCTATAACCATGCCAAAAATATTGTAACCATAAATCAACATGGTTTTATGAACGGGAGATCTACTACAACAAATCTCGTGTGTGTTTCTCAATATGTCGCAGATGTTTTGGATAATCGGGGGCAGGTTGATATTATATACACAGATTTCTCGAAGGCCTTCGATAGACTGGATCACAAAATTTTGATTGAAAGACTGGGTGGTTACGGATTGTCTGAGAATTTAGTTGATTTGTTTGTGTCATACCTGACTAATAGAACGCAATATGTACAACAAGGGGGTTCAAATCACAAGTAATAAGAGTACTGTCAGGAGTACCTCAGGGTTCAGTCCTGGGACCTCTACTATTGAACATCTTTTTAGATGACATAATCAATTCCATTGATGTCAATTTTTTAATGTACGCAGATGATATGAAGTTATATACGAGGATTGAGACCTCTAAGGACTGTGAACGGCTGCAAAATGCTTTAAATTTAGTCGAACATTGGTGTACAGCTAATAAACTCCCACTGAATTGTAAAAAATGTAATGTTATGTCATTTAGTAGACAAATACACCCATTGAGCTTTGGTTACCACATTAATGATGTATATTTAGATTGGCCTACCCCCATCAAAGATTTAGGGATTGTATTTGATTGTAAGCTTTCGTTTGTCGAACATGTTGATAGAATTTTGAAGACCTCATACAGAAATTTAGGGTTCGTTATTCGAAATGGTAAAGATTTCTTGGATCGTAGTATTCGTAGTACATTATTTATTTTATATAATTCGTTTGTGAGGTCTAGATTGGAATATGCATCTATTGTGTGGAACCCGCTATATACAGTTCACATAAATAATTTTGCGAACATACAAAGGAAGTTTTTAAAGTACTTATTTTATAAAGAAAATTCGTATTATCCCCCCATTAATTTTCCTCAGAACCTTCTGTTGAATCACTTTGGCGTGAATTCTTTACGGTCTAGAAGATCTATGCACTCGATCATTTTTTTTTTGCATAAGATAATCCAAGACGTCTTTGACTATCGTCAGATATTAAGTTTACTTAACTTTAATATGCCTAGGTTAACTTCGCGTTCTCCTGCAACCTTCTGTTTGCCTATCCTTCGCACAAATCTCCTAAAAGCTTCTCCATTGTTTCAGGCATGTTCAAACTATACAAAAATTGCACATCTTGTAGATGTGTTTAATTGTACCACAAATGAAATTAAAGAAAGCACTATACATATTTTGAGCATGACCTAAATGAGTATAAATGTGTAATTAATAGGTTCTTTGTATATTACTTATACTGCGTATTTTTCCGTCTTCTCCATGTTATTTGTCACATGTTTGTTTTATATTTACTTATTATATAGGCTCAATCTCTTTTTTTCCCCTGTATTTCTCTATTTCTCTATATTGTAATTATTCTATGTACTCCCATTCCGTAATTGGAATTTTGTTTCTGTGGAATGGTGTATCCAAAATAAATAAATAAATAAATAAATAAATAAATAAACCTTCGTTTAGTGAGAATGCATGGGTTTTTTAAGGCTCGATTACGGTTAGACAACATATAATCTGTTTTAAATAGAGTTTAATATCCAATACTTTTAATATGAATTCACAGACGTCATATATACAGATTTTAGTAGAACATTTGACAAGCTCGATTGTGTACTTTTACTTTCTAAATTGGGCAAAAATTGGTTTTTTTGATAATATAACAGTTCTTAAAATCTTATTTATGTAATCGTTATCAGCACGTTAAATTTGGCAGCAAAAGGTTTAATTTATACCGTTATCAGGTGTGCTTCAGGGTTCGGTGTTGGGGACATCGCTTATAAATATATTTATAAATGATCAATGTTTGTTTGATGCGATGAAATAGTTATTGAAGACAAGAGAAAGAAGTTACTTTTTTTGAAGGCTGGCAATACTGTTGCAAGGTATCAGTGTCAGGTAAGTGTTTTTCAAATAAATTCTATATAGGTACATTGTTTTTTATTTTAGATAAGAAAGGTGCAATAGGTCAATTTATATCTTTATCAGGTATGCTTCAGGGCTCGGTGCTGGGGCCATTGCTTTTGAATATAATTATAAATGACGTAGTTAATAAATGCAGCTTGTTCTCTTCTTATTTAAGGTTTTCAATTATAGTTAAAGTTTTATCAAAATTTGTAATGACGTTTGTTTTTTTTTTTAATTAGACTTGATAGTTTGATCTTTAATCTTGGTTTTGTCTGTTTTGTATGTGGGTCCAGCCAAATATGAGAGCTAGACGTCATCACAATAAGGAATCTGTGTGTTTTTCTGTGCTCGATTATTATTAATTGTTTTGAGGGAGATATTGTTGAAAAAAAAATCTGATATTTTGTACAATAACTATGATATATACTTTACGAATAAGAAATTTAAAAAAATGCTAAATGAGTCCAATTTGTTTATTTATTACCTAATAACTTTTCAGATTTACAGATACTTTTTAAGTTAACTTATATAATACTGATCATTGTTTTTTTAACTACATTCATTTTTTTAAGGAAATTATGTTTCAATTTTGATAACGTTTCTAGAAAACGATGTAGATATCGATATGGAAGATGAGTATTATTTTTGCTCTTTTTAAGACACACTTTCAGAAAAACATATTATGTTATCAAAACGCCGACCAAATAACTTTTAAAATAAAAAATCCTCACCTGCATCTCCGCCAACTGTTTATGAAAATAAAGTCATTCCTTCACGAGATACTTCCAATCAATACTCTAAAGATGCCTAGTTTCATTTGTATCTGACATACCATATTATAGTAATTTAAGAAAATACGTCTATGGAAGAGAACATTACACATCCTGTAACTTTTTTACTAAGCATATTCATATGCATACCAAAAGAATTTTTTTTCTTATTTTGATGACCACTATTTCTGGCAAATATTATATTTGTACGATATTTTAAAAGTTCTGAAAAACATCGTATTCATATTGGGCACTCACGCAAGTAAGTATATTATTCAAATTCCATATGTGGGCGTAAGGGGTAGTTTTAGAGGGCAACTGTTACAATTTCATCCCTAACTTATTCAATTTTACTTCATCTTTTTTAGTGTTTGAAAAATATTGATCTTAAATTGTTAGAGAAAAAATATATATTTTTGTTCAATGTTGATTAATCAAACTGTTAATCACATATACTCTGAAATGTCACATATTTTGAATAGTTTCCAAAAAATAGGTAATTTAGTTGAATGATCCCTAAAAAAATTGAAATTCGCATAAGACAAACTAACTTTTTTCAATTTCTTTCTTGAAATTTCCACTGGGATTATTTCCTTCAAAAATAACAATTTTTTCAAACGATGACAACTAAAGTTGCTGTTTTATAGACATTGTTCGATATACCTACACGTAAGTATATGCGTGTTATGAAATTTTACAACAGCACATATGTAATTTTAAATTTCTCGAGAACAGTTTTTTCAACAGGCATTTCTTATTTTTAATAGTCTAGAGATTAATACTGTCATAATGTTTTAAATGGGAGAACAAATTAAAATGCTTGGGATGAAATAGTGATAGTCATTCTTGAAAATACCCATTACGCATGATATGGGAATTGAATAATATTGAGTAAATTAGTGCCCATTAAAAATGTTTAAAATATGAATATAATATCTTGAAAGATCTTTGGGATGTTCTAAAAATATACCTATCAGCTCCCTTCAAAGTTATGTATCTTCCTATAAATTTTCGAAAAAAAGTAAACATTACTTATTTTTTGGTGTAATATCCA